TATATATATATATATATATATATATATATATATATATATGTATATATATATAGTGTAATTTTTATTTTTATTTTTTTGTTTTTGGGCAATGATTCAAGCCGAATGAATATAGTTTCAGTGAGTCAACGAGGCTGTGATTGAGCCCAATTATATGATTTGATGTTTTCCTTCTCTCTATATTTTAATAATTTGTTTGGTTTTTTTATTCTTTAAATTTCATTAAAATAATGTCTTTTTCTTTTCAAAAATATGTTTAGAATCATATGATTAAATAATATCTGAGTATGTTTTTAGTTTAAAATTACAAAAAATTTAATTCTCCTTTTTCTTAAAAATATGTATTAAATTAAATCCATACAAACAAATTGATAGAATATTTAGATAAGAATTTATACCATGTCACCAATGACTCCCACTTTCATATTGGTTTGTGGACAGTCCTAGTGTTGTAGGAAAGAAATGGAAAAGGAAATAAAGAATAGATTAAAGTACAAAAGGTATATAATTGCATATTGGAAATACAGTAAAGAATAGATTAAAGTACAAAAGATATATAATTGCATATTGGTAATACAGTTAGGTAATTGTAACATCATATATATGTTAGGTGTGTGTAGGATTTCAATTATATCATAAAACTTTCTTTTAACTTTTCGTTATTGATTCACCAATTCATAGGCCAGTCCACCCCACAAAAATTATTCTCCTTGTCTCAATTTAGATAACACAATTTAAATGATTATGATTTTTATAAGATAATATACTTTTAAAAATTACGATTTTAAAATTAATCATAATTATTTATATAATTACAAATACTCTTATTAAGAACTAAATGTGAAGTACTAACTTTAGAGCTATATCTAAAAATATCATTCTTTTTATCTAATTTGGGAAAAAATTGTACACCATATATATTACAACAAAAGGAAATAGAAAAGGAAAAAAGAAGATAATTATCTATAAAATTGATTGATCGACTATCACTTGTCAAATGTCAAATAATAATAATAACCCAATAGAAAAGCTAACATAAACTATGAGTCATGACGTATGATATAGGAGTATATTGTTAAAATGTCCTAATCAAATGATTTTTTATATTTATATTTATTATAGAAGATCCCAATTTCATATTGAGAAAATAACGATAAAAAGCTTGCATTTGATAAAATTTTGCTCATTCCTATTTTTCAATTATCAAATATTAATTCCTTAATAGAAATTAGCTTAAACATGTCTTTATCTTGAAATGTTTAGCTAGTATTATAATGACGTAGATTATTTTGTAATGAAGCTACTTAAATAGTTAAATGACCATTTCAAATAATTGCCACTAAAGTGAACAAGGTGTGTGGGACATGAATGCAATAATTAATACACAGAAGGTGGAGCTTAATTATTGCTAAGTAGTATGCGTTTTTTTGGAACAAGACATTACGAACCATATATTTTTTTTCTAGGAAGATAATGTTTTTTAAAAGGGATAATGTTCAAGTATCTCCTCAACCTATGACCGAAATCTCAAAGACACACTTATACTATACTAAGGTCGTAGTACTCCCTGAACTTATTTTATTAATAATTTTTTTACCCCTTTTTAGTCTACGTGGCACTATCTGGTGGGTCCAACACTGGTTGACTTTTTTTTTTCAAACTAGTGCCACGTAGGCTAAAAAGGGGTAGAAAATTACTTATAAAATAAGTTCAGGGGGTAATAGGACCTTAGTATAGTATAAGTGTGTCTCTAGGATTTCAGGCATAGGTTGAGAGGGGTACTTGTGCATTTTCCCTTTTTAAAATGAGAAACATAATATTTTAATTGTAAATAAGAAGATAAATTTTACAAGTGCCATTCATTCTACATTAATGGTGTTCTCTACTCTCAAATACACACCTCATCTCTATATTCACTCCCACCACCTCCTGGCTGATTTGTGTTGTACATTGAATAACACACAACCAATAGAATGTATGTGAGCTCAATCTATGGTCACGTCCTTCGAACCATAGATTACTGTTGCTGGAATGAAACGAAGCTTTGGAAGAGAATTATTCTTTTTACTATAAACTCATATGATACTTGACAATTTGCTCATATTGCACCTCTTGCTCACAATTTTACTATGTCATGTCAACCTAACACTCTAGAAAAAGCTAACAGAATGAAATAGAAAATACAAAAAGTTGCTAGGAAAGATTTTATTGTAGAGAACTTTGAGCTTCGACATTTATAGTCTTAATGCATGAGCGAGTTAGTAGTAGCGAGCTTCAACTCTAGTCTCTTCGCTCCAGCCTCGGTCATAAAATTATGAGTTGGTACAGTCGATCATTGCATGAGCAGTCTTGTTATTGATGCTGAGGTTTATGTAATGATTTCCATTATCATCGGGTTGAACAAGTTACTTCTTGACACCTCCATATAGTCCTACAGTACCCAACTGTGATGTGCCTAAACCTTCTCCTTGCTTTTGCCCTTTCTGCTCGCGCACCATGGCACCGAGACTCTTTAAGTTGGGACAGTTCAAACCATGAGGTCCTATTGGAACATTACGTGTAGTCGTATTAAGTTTGAGCAGTTCTCATCCCTGTTTATTTAGGATTAAGTTTAAGTAGTTATTGTCTAGTTAGATTCTACTACTTTAGTTCGTCTAAGAGGCTTTCCGCTACAATTTTATTTAAGCAACTTACTGTCTTCATTAATAAATTACCGTCTTTCAACTTATACCTAATCTTTATACGATATCAGGGCTTTCAACACTCTAACAAGAATGATCCAACTTTTTTCCTTCCTTCTCCTAACACAAATCAGCAACAATGACCAATTCCAACGGGAACAACAATAATAATCCAACAATTATCAATGTTGATAACCCAATCGATAGTAACATAATCATTCAGTTCAATCCTACTTCCAAACTACCCATTAAACTAAGCGGTGGTCACAACTTCGCCACCTGAAAAGCCAAATTATCCATGCTTATGTATGGCTACTACCTCTTTGGCCATACTGATGAGACCACTCCGGCTCCCAATCGCATGAGATCCTTTGGTAGGAACATATCTCTTAATTCTGCCTTCTTACCTTGGTTCCGCCAAGATAAACTCATCCAAGATGCCCTTATGACCTCTATCGAACCCACTATTGCTTCTATTCTTGCTATCGTTGACTCAGCTAAATTAGCTTGGAATGCTTTTCATACCACTTATGTGAACAAGTCTCAAACTCCGGTCTTTAGTTTGCTTGATTAGTTTTCCCGTGTCATTAAAGAATCTAGCTCCATCACTGAATATCTTCAATATTAAGTCCCTTTCAGATGAGTTAGCCACTGTTGGTGATCCTGTGTCCAATCCTAATGTAACAATCCTAAAAAAATCGAATAGATAAATACTTAAGGTGATTTAATTATTATTTAAAGATCTGAAATTTTAAGGGCATAATGGTCCTTTCACGTATTAATTAAATCAGATTTGCATTAATTTAATTAAATTCTATTTTGACTAAGTCTTGAATTAAGACTCCTAAATCTATGCTAACACTCTCCTAATCAAGTTTGTCACCTCTCCACGTTAAAAAAACTCTCTTGTTCTCTCTGCCAATTAACGTGAAGAAACAGATTCTTTGAAAAAAAAATTTGCACTTGAAGAACTCACTAAAAAGTCTAAGGAAGCAAGTTAATCAAAAACGTTAAGACAAGGGAGAATTCCGTCGAGTTGGTGGTGGAACTTTAGGTGATGGTGTAGTTTTGGAGACAAGTTTAGGCAGCAACTTCAAGCTTGAACAACGTCAAAAGATATGGGTTTCTCTTCTGGAATTCTTTCTCCAAGAGTATTTTCCTTCAAACGATTCTCAAGTCTTGAAAACTAAGGTTGTTCCCCTTTGTATGTCCTTGTCATTAACTCCCAAAGAATTTGTAGGATGGGTATGTTGTGCTGCTAGATTTAGGCATCAATGATGTATTTATATTAATTGTGGACATGTTGATGTGATGGAAATTATAAAAGAAAAAAGAAAAAAAACCAATATTCAAAGTGTAATCGAAAAG